TATTTGCCTGCAGTGTGAACGTATGAGGACGTCCAGGGACTCCAGGGGATTAATCATCATTTTTGTTATCAGCTAAATATCAAAACTAATCATGATTATTGTTTTTGCCAATATTGCCCAACCCTAGGAGGTACGAATTAGAAACAGCAGAAGGAGCATTTTGCAACTAATTATGTTATTTGGCAACAAATAAGTAAGAGAACTGGGTATAAAAAGAGCATTTTTAGAGGCTGAATTTCTCAGAAGTAATGAGAGGTTCGCCAGTCTGTGAAAATTTCATCTAAAAATAGAGTGAGATTTTCAGAATAATGTTCCTCAATAGAACATTTAGAAGACTTTGAAAATCATTTTAAAAATCTGGTGAAATCTCGGCACAAAGGACAAGGTCGAAACTCAATTTTTGACACTCATGATCCTTTGTCAAGAGCCACTGCATTTAAAAACAGGTCYGATTCTGTTCTTAAAAATCACTGCATGGACTCAGGAGCACATCCACAAATCCCTGTTTGTAAATWTAGTTTGATGTGCCGTCCACAAACGCAGTATCGTGCAAAGAAGAAGCCATGTGAACATTAAGGAATGTTGCCATTTTTTAAAAAGGACTGAGGTAAAGTGGAGAACTGTTCTGTGGTCTGACAAATTAAAATTGGCGATTCTTTTTGAAAACCAGAAGCTACATCCTATGTGCTAAAGAGAAGGGCCATSCTGTTCAAAAGTATGCCTCTCTGATAGTATGGGGGTGCATTAATGCCTATGGCACTGGCAGCTGAAACATCTAAAAARGTTCTATCAATGCAGAAAGTTTGTTTTCAAAAAGTTGTTTTTTAGTGGAAATATTGTTTGTGTGTTTAAGACATGTTCGTTAATAAAATTCCTTTGCTAAATAAATGCAATAATAACTTAATAGTGAATTAAAGTGAGAAAAAAACATTCAAAAAGTTGATGTTTCTTTACCCATTTTGTAGTATTATTTGTGAGTTTGCAAAGTGGGGGGTCCCTGGCCAAAAGCTAATGCTGTTTGTGGGGCCATGGCATGGAAATGTTGTGAAACCCCTGATCTATAACAGGCTGCGAGCATATAAATGTGGTTTGCTGTTTTATCCAAGGAAACTATATTCAGAATCTAATCTTTTCTACAGTTCTTTCTTTTAACATCAGTACTTTTATTTTCCAGCTAACCTTTGCAAATGCCCTTCCCCTGTTAACACAACACTATATTTTTGGCCTTTTTGTTAAGCTTTGTTTTCACTTAACTCTGTATTTAGTGCGACACTGCCTCTGAAATACCAGCAGCTTATAAACAAATCCCGAGAATCAAAAAGTAAAGGTGAGCAAAGATGGCAAGGACTCAACTGAAACAAGCTCAAACCAAGAAATATATACAAGCACCAAAACATTTTGAAATACAAGTTTGGTTTACTAGCTTGCTAAGAAAAAACTCCAAGTGAAAAAAGTAAAAGAAAAAAGTGTTTTCTGAAGCTTTCACACACCCCATAGTTAACAAATTGTGTAAACAGGATACAGAAAATAGGATGGGATGTGTTTAAACAGCACTTAATGTGATTTTAACACCAGATTAAAGCTGCAATGATTAATCGACGACTAATCAGTTATTAAAATAATCGATGAATAATTTAATAATCGATTAGTCGTTTTCTTTTTTTTTGTTCTTTACTTTGTTTTTCTCTCCAAACTGCTTTGACACCTTCCACTGCCACATCTGCCTTTCTGTCCTTGACACACATGCACAGTAGTGGTAACTGGGGTAGGCCGTGGACGTAGGGCTGCACCAATTAGTTGAAATAATCGATGGCGTCGATTATGTAAATT